CGTAGAAAATTAAATCGAAAGATTCTCTAAAAATAATACGAAAAAATATCTATAATTATTAAGTAATTAAAAATAATCAAAGTTGCACAAATAAATACATAAAATAAGACAGAAGAGAGAAAAGTTTTATCAAGTACTTTTATTTTATTTTTCACTAAAAATATAAAATTTATTATTTTATATGTATATTATGAACTAACAGTGACTGATTTATAATATTTGATTTAATAAAATTAATAAATTAATTTATATTAACATGTTAGTATAACTACGGTCATCAAATATTATATAATAAATAATTTTTTATTTATAAAAAAATAATTTTATTTTATTAAATACGAGATACGATCATATTCGAGTTAGATAAATTTTTTTTTTAATTATAAATTTTAATCTTTTATGAAAATCTTGTACAAACAAATAAATGAATTATTATATATTATTTATTTTATAAATTATTAGTTTCTTTTGTAATAGTAAATCCAATTCCGACTGTCGGCCATCTCTTATCTCTTCCCAAAAGTCTTCCTTCTATTATCTTTGTCAATTATCACTCTTAATATATTTTTATCAAACTGTTAAAAAGAATTTAAACGTGCACTTAAATTAAGAAAATATTTAATATAAAATTATAATATATATGATTTAACAGATTTTTTTTAAAAAAGTTATAAATTATAATCTCTAAAGTAAAAAAGTACACTTTAATTTAGAGATAAAAGTTAATAATAATTTTAAAAAATATTATTATTAATTTAAAATATTATCTGACCTATGTTACTTGATCAGTAATAATTAAAAAAATCAAACATAGAATAAAAATTATAAAATTAAAGAAAAAAAATAACATGGGTTTTATTATATTTAATGTCTAATCTAATCATATTTACGGTGCATGATTTAATCATGAGAAAAAATCGGAGAGAGTGAAAAAGAGGCTATATAAAGGCTTGATTATCACCTTGCTCCAAGCACCAATTCTAAGAATTACAGTTGAAGAATATTAGGAGATCATCAATGGCGGCTCAAGATGAGGTGATATTGCTCGATTTCTGGCCAAGCATGTTCGGGATGAGGGTGAGAATTGCCCTGGCAGAGAAGCAAATCAAGTACGAGTACAGAGAGGAAGACACATTCGGGAGAAAAAGTCAATTGTTGCTTGAGATGAATAAATCGCACAAGAAGATTCCAGTTCTTATCCACAACGGTAAACCTATAGCCGAGTCGCTCATCATTGTTGAGTATATCGATAATGTCTGGAATCACGCCCCTGTCTTTCTTCCTTCTTCTGAATCTCATCCTTACGAGAGAGCCAGAGCTAGATTTTGGGCTGATTACGTCGATCAAAAGGTTCTTTATTTGATTAATTCTCTTAACTTAAATATCATATGCATTAAGATTTTTTGATATATGCCTAATTATTTTAAGGTACAAATATCTTATATTTGGTACTGTATTTTGTTATTATTTTAATTATCATTTTAACAACTAATTATGACTAGCTAACTAAAATAATATTATAATAACAAATGAAGATCTAGATAATAAAAAAAAAAGTAACAAAATATAATAGAATGTATTAGTATCTAATATTGTAAAAGGGTTGATATATATCATGTCTAATGATGAACTATATATATATATATATATTATAGGTACTTAAATTTGGATCAAGAACATGGACCACAAAGGGAGATGAACAGGAAAGAGCAAAGAAGGAATTTATAGAAATTTTAAAGATGCTTGAAGAAGAATTGGGAGATAAGCCTTACTTTGGAGGTGAGAGTTTTGGCTTTATGGACATATCACTCGTCACGTTTTACCCTTGGTTTTGTGCCTTCGAGAAAATTGCAAACTTCAGCATTGAGCCCCATTGCCCCATACTCATTGAATGGACCAAGCGTTGCATGCTCAAGCCTTCTGTAGCCAATACTCTTGTCGATCCCAACAAGATCTTTGACCGTATAACCACTGTCTCTAAACTTTATAATTTCTTCTACACTTGATGCCCGCAAGCATAGACATATATATATATATCAATTACTTAAATAATATGTTCGATTCCAACCATGTTTTTACTATTTGTTAGATTAGATATATAAACTGTTGTTTCATTTAATTTTCAGGATTCAAATATCAAGTTGCGTAATAAAAGTGTGTCAGTTTGATAATAAAAATTTGAATATGAGTGTTTTGAATGTAATATAATTATATTATAGTATCCACAGCCCGAACTCATGATAAGAAATAATATATTTTGTTTAAGAAAATTCTTTGCATAAATTGTATTGAATAGGTAAATCAATTATTTGTCTTTCGAGATCCGATATTAATTCTCACATACTTACTAATTGGTGTACTTGAGATGTATTTTCTAGAGCTCCTAAAAAAGACATTATATGAATTGAATTTGAAAGGGCCGATTACCTTAGGATTAGGATTCATTTCTTGTATTAAATACTCACTTGTAACTTACCATATTTGTAACGCCCCGTTTTTTGTTTTCTTAACGGCGCAATTTAAAACAATTCTATGACCAAATACAAAAGTTTCATTCCAAATCCATCACACACATAGAAACCTTACTGCAATCTATTATTCAAAATCAAGATAAACTTGCAACCCTACTGTACATCATAGTGAAATACAATCTCATACACTTCCAGCAGACACACTATCTACACTACTATTAATTTTTACACACTCTATTCTGCCCATAAAAAGAATTCTTGCTCTGTTGCGCCATACGCTAGGCTCACAAACCAGCAACTCCGATCCCGACTTCATCCCTACTTCATCTGTGAATGATAAAGAGCAAGTACATATAACTAAATACAGTAAAAATTAAATTACAAGTATCATATGTAACAATAGGAAACCTAGTATTTCTATATGTACTATATCTACACAACCTAAGTCATACCTTAATACTACCCTGGGACTACACAAGACTAACTTACCCCAGTAATTTAGTTATTATGCATATCAAGTGTGACCGTCTTCTGACGTCACCCCAACCATACAGATATTCTCACCCGTCACCAATATTAGCGACTAACAATCAACATTTTATCTCTCGACCCCTAACAGGCCACACACACACACACAGATACAATTCTCTC